TAAGGCTGGCCGCTGCATTCTGCACCATTTGAAGTTTCCACATCAGTCTCAAAGGTAGCCCCAAAGTAAGGTTTCACAACCATGTTATGTATTTTCTAACCCTACAAAATTCTATTCAATCTTTATTATATGGTCACAGAACCTACAGAGTGCTGAGGCTTAGCATTAGGATGGAGCTTAGAGTTAGCAGAAAATTTACATTCAAACATCTCTTTTGAAAATTCCAGAGTCAGCCTCTCCCTGTATAGGGCCAAATTACTGACAACCAGAATATGCCACTTCTGCTTCTCATTCTCATGGTTTCCCCAAAAACTGCATAGGAAGGACACTTTTTTTCATGGGACAAATGTAGTAGACATGGGGGAATGTGGGGAGTCATGGCTGTTATTATGTATGTGTGTAAAAAGTGGATGAAATTTAGAAGCTTAGAGTTAGCAGAAAATTTACATTCAAACATCTCTTTTGAAAATTCCAGAGTCAGCCTCTCCCTGTATAGGGCCAAATTACTGACAACCAGAATATGCCACTTCTGCTTCTCATTCTCATGGTTTCCCCAAAAACTGCATAGGAAGGACACTTTTTTTCATGGGACAAATGTAGTAGACATGGGGGAATGTGGGGAGTCATGGCTGTTATTAAAAAGTGGATGAAATTTAGAGGCATTGTTTGCAACTTCTGAGGTGATAATATTGTAAAATGGCTCCCTTGTTGGTAAAGTTCTGTTGGAATTCTGCAAAAAAGATGATTTTTGGTAATCAGAATGTCCATTGAGTAATCAATGGTCTGGGAAGTGGTGGTGCTGTGGGTTAAACCGCAGAAGCCTCTGTGCTGCAAGGTCAGAAGACCAGCAGTTGTAAGATCTAATCCACGCAACGAAGTGAGCTCCCGTCACTTGTCCCAGCTCCCGTCACTTGTCCCAGTTTGAAAGCATGTAAAAATGCAAGTAGATAAATAGGTACTAACACCGTGGGAAGGTAACGGCATCCCGTGTCTAGTCACGCTGGCCACGTGGCCATAGAAACTGTCCACAGACAAATGGTAGCTCTGTGGCTTGGAGACGGAGATCAACACCGCATCCTAGAGTCAGACTAATGTCAAGGGGAACCTTTACCTTTACCTAGACATCACTGACTTTCAATGAATACTTGTCATGTTGGTCATAATTACCTCTAGTAGTGACAGCAATCCTCTGAATGAATACCAACTGCAAGTGAGCATGAATTGATACTGGGGGAAGAGCTTGCTGGTCTAAACAGCCTTTGCTTTGATAAAGTAAGGCTGTTCTAATGCTAAGCCATTATTTACATAATACCACAATCAAAATTCGAAATAAATTGCATAATTTCTCACACACAATCTTCTCAAAGAATTAGAGATAGAAGGGACACCAAGGTTCACTGAGTCCAGATCCCTGCCAAAGCAGGAAATCCACAGCTGACCATCCTTAACAAGGGCTATTTGACCTCAGCTGAAAGGTCTCCAATGAAGGAATATATGAAACTCTCCAGCTTTACTCCAGTTTAACAGTTCACGATTTTAATGCATGGACAATCTAATAAAGAGTGGGAAAGGGCCTTTATAAAGGCAATGCTGGCATAGTGAAACCACCTTTGTTTTCTGTTGAATATACATCTAAGTCTGCAGTTTCTTCTACAGCAGTGGTTCTTAACCTTGGCTTACTCAGTTGTTTTTGGACTGCAACTCCTAGAAGCCTTCACCACCAGCTGTGCTGGCTGGGGTTTCTGGGAGTTGCAGTTCAAAAACACCTGAGTAACCAGGTTAAGAACCACTGTTCTACAGTTTTAGTGGATATAAATGCTTTCTCCACTATCATTTGGAAATAAAACTCTTAAGATTCACATCAACTCATTATGGGGATATGAAGGCTAAGATTATGCTGCTTACATTAGTTATTATTACCAACCTACTCTCAGGTCTTGGTGAGACATTAATGTGCTTCTTGGTTTCTAGATGCAACCTACCATAAATACCATAGAAGACTGGTGGTTAACAGAAAAGCCAAATGAGAAATCATAGATTTAAAATGGCAAAGACTATTAATGAAAGAGCACTCTTGCTCAATGCTTTACTTTAAGGGCCTCACTTGTGTCTCCATAGCATTACTGAGCAATGTCAATATCAGTTTTGACATCCTGAAAAGCTTTTGCATTTATCATACAAATGGCAAGATACACTACTAGAATTCATGAACAGCTTAGAAATGCATGGCTGCATCAAAACTTGTGAGTTCTTGGTATTCAGTGCATGGAATGCTTGCACTCTTCCTCTTCTACAGCCCTGTTTACAGAAGTTTTCTAGTATTTAACTTTTTTTTCAATTCTATTTTCAGTAAGACTCCTAGGAAAGAGATTACAACATTAGGAACCCTCACTACCAGAATGGAATCTGAATTTGCATTCCGTCTCAGTCACAGGTGGCTCATGACCAGGAAGAGGGGTGCTCTCCAAATTTGGCTAAAGGAGCCCTTCCAGCAGGTCCTTCCCCACAAATTACCATGGGTCTAGTTGCATTCATTTCTATAATTACTGCTGAATTACTGAATTACTATCTGACCCATTATACGGGAAAACATGTTGGTAGGATTTGCAGAATTTGCCTAGAGACACTTTTGGAAGCATATCAGTTATGAAATAATGCTTGGCATTATTCCAATTTATGGAGGAACACTTTATCCTTTTGAGTCAAACACATCATGGGCCCTTCTACTGCTTTTCCACAGAGGAAATTGTTCTCTGTCTTCACAATGAGTCTCATTTCAATCTAATAACAAAGTAGCACCCAGTAAATGATAAGCCGTTCTTACACAACATGCTTGTGCATGTTCTAAGACCAGAATGCCTTATTTTACCAGTATCTAAGGCATAACACACCAACAATAACCCAACAATCCCCATGTATGATTGAAGCTGCAATTTGCAGGAATATGCTGAAAACAAAATCCTTGTTTGATACACCACATTATTTAAATGCTTACACACCACAAAGCATCTTATATATACCCAAGACAAGGTGAGATGGGTGTACGCACTCATGTTTATGGCTACATCCACAAAACTACAGGAGTGGGGAACATGTGGCTTCCAGATGTTGTTTGAGTCCCATCAACCTCAGCCAGAAAGGGCAATTATGAAGGACGATGGGAATTTTCAGGCCAACAACATCTGGAAGAATTTATGGTTCTCATCCTTATACTAGGAACTCAGATTAATGTTTCTCCTTGCTACATGGGCAAGGACTTGGTTTGCTCTCATTTGCAGTATGAAGCAGCCTAGAAAAATCATCCTATGAGAATAAAATCGGGTCATAATGCCAAACAGAGTGATAATGATTCAAAGAAACAGAGCTAGAAATCCCTGCTACACTACCTAAATTATCTTCTCACTCTGCCTTTCATTTTTCTTTAAAGATTTCCAAAGAAAAGACAAATTGTCTAATTGCTTCCCTGTAAAGGAATGTTTTAATTACCCACTTTCTACTGTCATCTGAAGGCTACTATTTTTCCTTCCTTCAACGCCAGGGTGGATTTGATTTAAATCAAGTCAGTAGGACTAAATTTGAATCATAATTTTTAAATGTAAAGACTCATTTTTGCTGGTAGTCACAATATTCAATATTTACAACCAAATGAAGATTTCATATTTGCAATAATAACCTGTTAGATTAGTAAAACAGCAGTATCAGAACTGACTTTAATAGGTTAATCACTCCCATTTGGAGAACTACTTAATTTATTTATTTATTTATTTTATTTAATTTATATCCCGCCTATCTAATCGGGTCAGGACCACTCTAGGCGGCTAAATTGTATAGCTATATTAAATTGTATAGTTTACATATTCTTGTATTTGCTTAAACATCACTGTTTATAAACTGAAGTGGTTAAACGAAATATCTTTTTTTAAAAATTCAAGCTTTGTACACAAAGACCCTAAGGTTTGTAAACTGCTTAGAAGGTTTCAGTTTCATTTTTACTGTTTGCCTCTCCCTCCCCACACTTAGAGCCTGGTGCAGATGTACAGTATTTCACTCGAAACAAATTTCAGACGTAGCATTTAAGGTAATAGATTCACTGTATGTACATAAATTTGCAGAACAACAATAGAATTAAGATCTTTTGCTGAACTTTGTTTGTGTTATACATTTTTTACTGTGAAAAAGTGCATGTTGTCTCAGTTTGGGTAATCTGGATTAATTGAATTACTTTTCCAAAAGTGGAAATACTGCATGAATATAGAGCCTCATGCTACATAACTGCGCTCTATTTCATGCTGAATAACCTTTGAACTATAATGTATCTTAAATAGAAAACTATCTTTAGATAGATTTTTCATCCAAAAGCATTTCATTAAAATAATTTTTATTATAATCAAAAAGTACAATTTCAATTTTAAAAATCCAATTTAAATTTTAAAAAGCCATTTTTAATTTTTTAAAAAATCATTGATTTTAATCTGCCCTGTTCAGTGGCCTTGTAAATCTTTACCTTTACATGTTTTTAGCCAAAGTGGCCAGTAATGCCACTGCTGGAATTGTTCCGGGCATACTAATATTTTTCTATTGGAAAAGGACAGAAAAAGATGTGTGACAAAAAACAAAATATAAACAACATAGGAAGTTGCCTCCTGCAGTTAAACTGAACTGTATCAACACAAACTGGGAATACACAATTTTCTTCTTATTCAGTGTCAATGTTGGCAACAATGTTGGACTGGAGGTCAAGTATTTATTATACTAGTCCAACCATGACCTCTTTCAAAACTGAAGGTACTTTATATTCTCGCATTCATTACCAGAATAAAAACAATACAAACCCATTAGAAGGAATATAATATACAAAGTAGCTTGAAGCATATTTTGAAAAGAGGTGTCATCATCCTCTGCTCATTCTCTTATCCAGATGTTCCAGTTATTGAAAGATGCTATTGCTGACACTGAAGCATTTCCTTATTGTAAAGATTTTCACTTCCTATATTTTTCAGAAATTAAAACTTATACAACCATGATGTACCCAGATCAATTGCCACCAGCGTGTTTCCTGAAAAACATTTGACCTGCAAAGCAACAATTATAATGGAGTCTAACATATCATATGTGAAGATTCCAGGTAATCAATTGCAGTAAAGAACAAGAATTCTCAGACAAGTACTTTAGAGGGCATGTAATAATGTATATGTCTATATCTCCCTTTCCAGTATAAGTTTATAAGTTTCACATAAAAACATCTAGCGGCAGTCACAGGACTGTGTAATTATGCCTACTCCTATTTATGAGTGGCAGCCAGCTCAGAAGCATTGTAATTTTAGCCCCTGGCCTCTCTAATAAAACAAAATGTCTCTACTGTTCACACATTGTTTTGCCCTACTGATTTTTTTTTAATTACTGATATTTAGAATCTATGTGCATTCCTGATGGTCCCATATACTACATCTACAGCATTCCCTCTGTCTATCAGGGAGGTTATAATACTTTAATATAGTTTGGCTATGGGTACAAATAGTAGACAAAGCCTGAACCTGAGTAAAACAAACTTGAAATAAAGTTATTCTACTTATAATCATTAGGAAGAGCAGTAATAAAAACTGAGGTTTATTTCACTATTCTCTTGTTAATCTTGGTCACTAGAATAATGCTTCCCCAAATGACTGTCTTTTAGCAATTAAGGAATGTGGTCACAACACAGTTCAGAGAACAAGCCACTAAATTGTAGTATTTTCCCTTCCCTTACCCTGGACCATCATTCTTCCTACAGCAAAGTTGGCCTTATTTACCAATAGAAAGAGTTTTCAGGTCACCTAGGATTTGTTAGCAGGACCACACACAAATATACATATTAATTTAGAGAGGAAGACCCATGTTCTCACATTTTCATGTTCAGAAGAGCATACACTTTCAACTTGCTGTGCTGTACCTTTCAACACAGTTTTAGCTGCTGTGTTGGAAACACAAGGGCAAAATTGAAGAGAAAGGCCAGTATCCAATTCAGCTTCCATTTTACGGACTGTCCTGCCAGTCACATAAAGCAGGATTGTGCCACTTCTCTGAAATAATGAAAGACAATCAATGCTATCAAAGCTGACAGCACCAGCTTGATAGATGTGTAGAGAATTTGTCCCCTATGTGCAACCTGTAACTTCTTCCTAAAAACTGGTGGCTTCTGAAGAACATGGTAGTGCCAAAGCCAGCTCCCAAAGCCAACTACACCAGAGCACAGGATGCTGTCCTCTGAAGATGCCGGCCACAGAGACTGGCGAAACGTTAGGAAAAACAACCTTCAGAACATGGCCAAAGAGCCCGAATAACCCACAACAACCATAAAACAATTAAAATACATTAAAAGTCTAAAAATTGCCATTAGGACCCACAGTTGATATGATTTTAATTAAAAGCCTTCTGGAATAGGAAGGTTTTGACCTGGCGCTGAAATATCATCAGCATTGGCGCCAGACAACTCTCAGTCGGGAGGGCATTCCATAGTCTGGGGGCAGCTGCCGAAAAGGCCCTTTGTCTACAAGCCACCCCTCTTACCTCCTTGAGGTACGGCTCTTTCAAAAGGCCCCCCTGGCTAGATCTTAACTGCTGGGTGGGCTCATATGGAAGGAGGCGGTCCTTCAGGTATCTATGGCCCAAGCCATTTAGGGCGTTATATGTCAAAACAAGCACTTTGAATTGGGCCCGGGCAGCAACTGGTAACCAATGTAATTTAATTAGAATTGGCTTAATATGTCCCCTAGTGACCCCAGCACTCACCAGCCGTGCAAAAAATACCTCATGGGACATGGTGCCATGAGAAGCATCAACGGTAAGATTTTTCAGTGTGCATAAAAAGTAGGATTTTCTGTGGTCCTGTATTAGTACAGATTGAGGACTAGATCAGACTCTGGCCTCCCACTTAATCCTTGTACAGCTTCCTCTTCTCTGGTTGTGCAACCAAGATATGGGGCTTCCAACAGATCTTCCTGCATCCTGTGCCATACATTCAAATGGCCTGTGGCCTTTTTTAAAAAATAAACATTCAAAGGGGGACATCTCACAGTTTCCTCAGGCAGCTGATTCAACTGCTGAGCTGGCCTAAAAAGTTATAAGAATAGCAGATATATCACAAGCTTACTTCTTCACCAGTATGCTTTATGCCTTTGCATCCCAAGCTGCTGTGGCTCAGCCCAACAAGCTCTTGCATGCACACAGGAACTTAGTCATAGGCATCTGTAAGCCTACTTGTGCAGCTGGACTATGAAACAATGCACACCCTGCCACCTCATTGCTTGAGCTGTGGTCTGAAGGCCTTCTCTGTGATTATACAAACAGTCATTTAACAATACATTTTCTTGAAATACAAGTAGTGCTGCCCCAGGCAGCAGCACAGAACATCTCCCTCAATGTAGAATTATATCAAATGTCAGCCTCAACAGAAGAACTCTGTTGTGAATCATCCCAAAGACCTACAAGTATAGCTCTCATTTACAGCAGTGATCAACCAGATGGTTCTGAAAAGTTTGTAATATCTCACTGCTAGTATTGCCACAATATGCTGCTGAATACAGGCATTCAATAGCATTCTCTGTCTGAATATGGAGGGTCCCATCTTGATTCTTTCTACACAAAATCAAATTTGAAGGGAATTTAGCCTAGCAATTTAAGCAATGTGAGTTTCTCACACATCAAGCATCCTGAACAGTGGCAATCCTTTCTTCATAATTTCCTCCAATAAAATATAGTCTAACACCTCTCTAGAGAGTTTCTACCACTGCTGAATAGCCCTCTTATCCTTAGGAACATTTTAATAGTTAGCTGAAATCTGTTTCCTTACCATTTCCCAAATCTAATCCTGCTGTCCAGAAACATTATTTATATATATATAAAGATATATCTGATCAACGCATAAGCAAAGCAAGACAGGCAGTGGCCACAATCCTGTTATTCATGTCTGCTGGTGTAATTCCAACAGAGTAGCTTCAACAGTGCCTTGTCATCAGTTAAGAAGTCAAGTGGATTGCTGCATAACATGAAAAACAAACACCAACTTTTTAACTGGTGGCAATTCATCACTGAAATTTATTCTATGAAAGTTATGCAAATGTAAGTTTACAACAGGATTTGGCCAATTTCTGTATTACCTACATCCACACCAAATTCTGGGTCATGGTTCTTAATTGATATTTGTATTAAAACCAATTCAAATCTGTAAAGAACCCGAAGTATTATTTTTCAATAGCACTAGCAGTACCATATCCTGTAGCCTAACATATGTTCACCAAATGTAAAAAAAAATGCAATTGCCATAACTTAGTGAACAATATAAATATTCTGATCACAGTGAGAAAAATAGAAAAATATTTACCTAAGCTTCTCAAAACAGCTGAAAACAGTGCTCAAAATGTCAGAAAGGAAGTACGTTCCTAACTGAGATGATACTTGGATGTTTATTTCCTAATATCATAATAGTGGAGCCAAGTGGGCCATTTCCCATCAAATTCAAATCTTACTACACCTTGCATCCTTACAATGGTATATCATGGGTTCCCAGCACCCGGGGCAAGGCAAGTATTGTGGGGCATGAGTCACATGCAGGCTTTGTGATGCAACACATAAGTAGAGCCTGAAGCTGGAGTGGGGCCAGAAAAGCCCCCAGAGTGGTGCCATGAATAAGCCATGTGGCCACTCAAGGTCCATGCGGGCAGCCCAGCACCTCTGGAGCCTCGGACTCCCAAGGGAGGGGAAAGAGAAGCACAAGGAGCAGATGCATGAGCATGTCGAGTGGGGTGGCCCATATGCCCCTAAGAATTTTGCACCTGGGGCAACAGGCCTTGTAGCCCTCTCATGCTATGCCACTGCACTCTTACAATGCCTTCCACCCTCAAATCTTACTATGCTTTGTAGTATCACATTACAAGGAGCAAAGAACATCAGGCCATCACAATAGGACTGTATACACCCAGAAAAATTCTGTGAACCTTGCTCATTTCATGTTACAATATGAATAACTAGGATCCCAACTGAATACAACCAGCATAAAACAACAGAACAACATATGAATGTCACTGAAGAAGGAAATTTAGGGAAACTGAATGTTATGAGGTTTAAAACAGGATATGAAGTGAGGAAGCGTTTTCTCTTCCTTTAAGTCTTCTGGGTATCATGTACAGCCACCCTCAGAGCATCTGAGTTACTGTTGTTACAGCTACCTAAAAGCGATGATAGCCACAATTTGTAACCAACACAGGTTGTTTCTTTCCATCATTATAGATCATTATCATCTGAGTCAAGACACCAGTACTTTAACCAACTATTCACAAGAACTACCAGGGAATTCTACCAATAATGAATTTACAACCATAGTTTTGCCCGTGCTTTACTTCGTCGTATTCCTGGCAAGCATCCTACTGAATAGCTTGGCTGTATGGATTTTCTTCCACATCAGAAACAGGACCAGTTTTATCTTCTACCTTAAAAATATTGTGGTCGCAGACTTGCTGATGACTCTGACATTTCCATTTAAATTTATTCAAGATGCAAGACTGGGGCCATGGCACTTCAACTTCTTTGTGTGCCGCTTTACCTCTGTCTTGTTTTATGCAAACATGTACACCACCATTGTGTTTCTTGGGCTCATTAGTGTTGACCGGTATCTCAAAGTTGTGAAACCATTTGGAGATTCCAAGATGTACAGTCTCACTTTTACCAAGATTCTGTCTGCATGTGTTTGGACTGCTATGATCTTTTTAGCCTTGCCCAATATGATCCTTACAAATGGCTGTCCAACAAGAAAAAATATGGATGACTGCTTAAAACTGAAAAGTCCTTTGGGAGCCAAGTGGCACAAAGCTACCATTTATATCAACAATGGCCTGTTTATCGTTGTACTGATAATATTAATAGGATGCTATATTGAAATATCAAAGTACATCTATAAATCAAGCAAGCAGTTTATCAGCTCTTCAAGTCGCACACGGAAACACAACCAAAGCATAAGGGTCGTTGTAGCTGTATTTTTCACGTGTTTTCTGCCCTACCATTTGTGCAGAATGCCTTTCATTTTTGTCCACTTAGATAGATATTTAGACGATTCGGCACAGAAGATCCTTTACTATTGCAAGGAAGTGACCCTCTTCCTTTCGGCATGCAATGTGTGTCTAGATCCCATCATTTATTTTTTTATGTGTAGATCATTTTCACAAAGATTTTTCAGAAAATCAAACATGAGAACAAGAAGCGAAAGCATTAGGTCACTTCAGAGTGTCAGAAGATCAGAGGTACGCATCTATCATGAGTATGTTGATCTATGACATTATTTTTTACCTTGTTATTTGTAAATAAAACATTTTGTTTGAGTACAAGTGTTCTAACATGTATTTTTCAAACCAAAAATCTGCACTGTTTCCATGCTGTTTAAGGGAGACACACAAAATACACCCAGATAACCATTAGAAAACTGCAAAAAATATTGTGACACTTACTAATCCAACAACATTTATTATGTCACAAGTTTTGAGTTTTTTTGATACTGTCCACTTCATCAGATGCATGAAATACTACCTTAGTTGGCAAACTTACAAACATATGCTTGTTGTGAGCACATAACAAATGAAATTCACAGGAACTGAAATGGTAAAAAAATATAGATAGTGATACTTATGTTAACAAACATCACTGTCAGAAGGTAGTGATATACTAGAATGAATGAGGTGTTTAAAAGACAGCTTTGAAAATACATTGAGGGGGGTGATAAAAAGCCATTAGGCCTATATCCATTTGCTAGTCCCAAACAAAAGAGACCCATTGCATCAGCAATGGTAAGTCAACATGCCTGTCAACACTTCTGATTCAGCAGCAGTCTCCTAGTTGGGACTAGCAATTAGATTTAGGCCACTGTCCCTATCCAAGCCACAGGAAATATAGTTCAAAACACTAAACAAATGCCTGTTCACTAATTTCACAGTAAAAGCTAACTCTATTCAATCATTACTTTGATGCATAGACTAACCAATAGATTTATCTATGTACCAGGATTCTTTTTCACCTGCAGAATCTACATAAAAGCAGGATTCTCTCCTTAGCAGATGTGTCATTTTTATATGGAGAAACTTATGATGGAATGGGAGGTGCTACATGCTCTCTCTGAAGCATGCTGAGTCTCTCCAGGAAAATAATGCCAGACAATGTATTCTGTCTTTGTAGTACCTTTGTTCTGGAATAACATCTTGTGGTCAGTGACTATATGTCTTGGGAGACTGAGTTATTCCCTGCTTATTTCTAATCAGTCGTTTCTGATGTCAGTTCCTGCATTCTGTATACAATAAAGAGTCCACTATCTATATATGAAAGAATAAATGGCCAGAAACCTGAGATCAGAAATAGCTGTATTCCAAAACCACTGAAGAAAAAAAGTGTCCATAAAAGTCATAATAAAACTATTTAGCCTAAGGAACCATAAGCTTCTTTGCTGGTTTTACTGCAACTAAAACAGCTATGGTCTTGACCTAGTTTTACTGCATTTCACATTTAGAAATGTTACACTGTGCCATCTAGTGGAGATAAGTTTACTTATGTAATAACACTAGAAACATTAAGATCCACAATTGCTTCCAAACTGGTTGAGTTGAATTGGGCAGTCACAATTATACCTGCCTAACTAGGATAACTAGGGATGTGGTGGCTTTGTGGGTTAAGAAGACCAGCAGTCGTAAGATCGAATACACGTGATGGAGTGAGCCCCCGTTGCTTGTCCCAGCTCCTGCTAACCTAGCAGTTCAAAAGCATGTAAATGCAAGTAGATAAATAGGTACCACCACGATAGGAAGGCAACAGCATTCTGTGTCTAGTCGTGCTGGCCACGTGACCATGGAAACTGTCTATGGACAAATGCTGGCTCTCCGGCTTGGAGACGGGGATGAGCACTGCCCCCTAGAGTCGGACATAACTGGACTAAATGTCAAGGGGAACCTTTACCTTTAACTAGGATCACAGAAAACCTAAATTAGGTCCCAGTCAAATTAACTCAGGTGAGAATTCTTAATCTAGGTCCTTTTAGTGCTTCTGCTATAAGCACTGGCCCCAAGTAATTTTTGCTTCAGCCATAGAAGATGCTTAATAAGAAAGCAGATGGCTGGCTGAGGCTCACTGTGTATCGATATAGCCTCTGATGCTGCATCCTTCTTTCTTACAGAAGGGGAAAAATACAAATTGAAATTAGATTGTTGATATTGCTCAGTTTTAGTATAAGCCATAGAAACTAACAGACTAGAACGCAGCAATATCGGGTGCTGTTAAACATCAGAAGTTTAAAAATTTATAAATTGCCATTATATCAAACAATCAAAAGGTGGCAACATAATACTGCTAATAATTGTGTTAAGAAATTTACATTTTGAAATATATTTTCATTAGCACACCAATGTAGGGAGCACAACCTTCCCTAGGTTTTGAATCTTAAATAAAATAAAATAAAATAAAATAATAATCTGCCAACATGTCAATTCTGACTTATGGCAGCCGTTTTTCCATGGTTTTCCAAGTACAGCATACTCAGAATTGGTTTATCATTTCCTTTTTATGGGGGTACCCGGGAACTGTGCGGCTTGCCCAAGGCCACACAGACTGACTCTACTTGCAGGAGGCCCAGTGGGGAATCAAACTCTCAACCTAAAGCTCCACAGACAGATACCTAAACCACTGAGTTATTCAGCCTTCAAATTTTACAAAACAAGATTTATTTTCACACATTTATTTTATTGTTTATTTTAAGAATAACAGATTATTTCAAATTGTTGTGCTTTGACCTTAATGAGACTGCTAAGTTGCTGATTACATAGAAATAAGACCATATAAATAATTTAAAACGAGAATGTGTAATATGGACCCAATGAGCCACATCCTGAAGGTTCCTATCACTGCCTCATGAAGCCCCAAGACAATTCCAGTGGGAAATGTGGGTAGCATGCACACTATGTTTCCAAGCAGAACTGTGTTCCTATCAGGCTTCTTAGGACTGTAATGCTGAGGGGAAAGAAGACAGATGCTCCTGGTGTTCCATGTTTCCTTTACAGAATCATACGGGGGGGGGGAGATTGCAACAGGAGGCATGTTGGTAAGCGAGTAACCCCAGTGGGCAACCAAAGAAGAAGAAAAGTCCCTGAGTTGCAATTAGTTTTTCGCCTTGCTTTAGGAGAAAGAGAGAATAAATTTTTTAATCTTGAAAGGTAGCTAGCAAGGGCTCCAAAACATGCCCTCTACATTGAACTCAATTAGGCTTCTGAGCTACAAGTTGTCGCCTGACAGCAATGTATGAAGGGAGAAGCTGCTAGCAGCATGTCCTGATTGGCAACTGAACAACCTTGGCTTCCACAGCCATGTACAGAAGCTCAGCTGGTCGCAATCCTTTTGGAATGCATGTCATAGAGATGGGGATGAACATGTCTGAGGCGTGTAGACAACATCACAGGCATAAACGATGACTCCAGCAAGACTACACACTAGCTGAAATCCTGTTGCGCAGCTCTGAATGTACAATGGGGATTATGTCATCATCAGTGGAATATCATTGCTGGGTTAAAACCAAACTACCTCTGACTGAAGCAATTTCAGAGTGCATGTGACTTGTATACCATGCAACAATTACATGTACCCTGAAATGACCCAAGGAAGCCTTTAATTGATGGTGATTTGCGGCTGCCCATGACATCATCATCACTGTGAATGTGGAGCTGCACAACAGGATTTTAGCCAATGAATGTAATACATTAGACATATCCCTAGATTTCAGAGCACATTGACTTGTTTAATAAGCTGAGGGAAAATGTTGGTTTATCTTCCAGGGCTCAAGGCTCATGTTCCAAGACCTGTCATGGAACTGTTAAGAACAAGAAACTTGTCTAGGAAAAACACTGTCCTAACAGCTACATCATGATACTGTACTGCCAACCAGTGGAGGGAAAGAGAAATCCAGTTTGACTGTGTTGTCTCTGAAGGCTATGTTCCATAAGAACATATAACCCCCCTGTTAGAGTTACCATCAAGTTCCATTTTTCCATAAGAAATATAACTCCCTGTTAATAGTTACCTACAAGAGTGTAGTCAATTCAGTTTCCTTCAATTGCTTCATAAGGACATAAGCTAGGGACTCAAATATATTTGCTCTTTTGTTTGAGGTATTATTGTGGAAGAAACCATTTATCCCCATTTCCCCTAACATTATTGTCCAGAAACTTGAAACAGTTTAGTATCTAAGTTCCATGGAATTTCTGACTAACTGAAGAAACAAAATGTCAGAGGAGGAAGGAGTACAGGAAACTACTGGTATTACACATCATATTTTACTGGGGTAAAAAGAAAGGGAATGAACCCATATTCATAGTGCTTTCATCGGCTCTTTCCATACTCTTTTAAGTAGGTAAATGGGGAGTAATGTGTGAGCAAAACTCAGTTTCTAAGCTACACAAGTGCCATCTGCCTGCTGTTTTTTGCAACTGCAGGGGTGTCTACCACTGCTGCTAGATTTGGTGGTGATTTCACAAACCTTGGGTGTGTGGTAATGTGGCAGCAAAAACAGCCCACATTCCTGCACAAAAAAAGTGATATAAAGGAGACATGCACATGATTTTAGAGAACAGTCCAATTCTAGGGCACCTGTGGGAATTTATGGTTCTCTATTAAACAGAGGGGTATCACCCATGTACCTTTAACAGAGAGGGTCAGTTTTTGCATTTTGGCAGAATATGTTTTTTGTCCCACTTCCTTTTGCATCACTACTTTGGGGGGTATAGAGAATGGTAGGATCAAGAGATGAAAACTATTTCCATTCACTTACCAATGTTGTCCATCCCTTAAACACAGAAGTTAGTTAGGCATCCTTCAGTCTCGAAAGACTATGGTAGCGTGCTCTGTATGGAGGGCTTGGAACAGCGCCTAGTGTGGCTGAGAAGGCCAATTCGAGAGTGACAGTCCCTTCCACACTGAAGACAAACC